AGAATGCACCGGGCTGACAGATAAGGTACCGATGACAGTGCTGGAGAAAATGTTGTGGTGGGATCGATCAACTTGTGCTAGCTCGCATCTACCGGCACCTGATAGGGCCGTAGCGATAATGATAATACATTTCGAATAACGAGTTATGTGAACACATGGCATTTTTACAGGCCATATCTTGGTGTTATTTGTTAATTGAAGCTGTAGAGCTTAAGAAAGAAATGAATCATGCCACGCAAAGGCTTCCGGAGTAAACAATTGTTTGGGTGTTGCTGGTGTCTGCAGTGGTGAAAATCATTGGAGGTATAACCTCTCGGTATGAAAAGTATCCTGGCAATAGTGAGCCAAATAATCTATAAGAGCAAATTGAACATCGAATATTGAGAACAAATGAATCTGAAGATCTGTCAGTTTTCAACAAGTTCGTACTGTCTACTGATGGCAAATGACTCTAGAGTTAAATGCTGAAATGGACGGTGGGGGGACATTTGGGTCTGGTATTGTATGGTGTCATGCAGAAGGTAGCTATTGTTTGGATCTATAATTTTGTAAACAAAGTCATTTGGATAAATAAGGGCAGGGATGCAATTCTATCCAACTGCTGCTGTCACCTTACGGTGGAGAATACAAGAGGTTCTGCCATCGAACTATCCAATAAAACTTCAAGGTCGGTGAGTCATATGAGGCCACCTTCGGTTAGCTTCGTTTCCAGGTGGGTGGTTGTCAGGACTGGAGGAACTTGCATACTTGAGTGCAAACGGTGTTTAATACCAACATTTCTGGTTGCTCTCCCATTCGGAGCTATAAATTTAGGGAAGGTAATCTGGGATGAATTGTCTAGCTCCTGATGATTTTGCGTCTATAGGTGGTGCAAGATGATAGTTCTCACGTGCTGAACAGAAGTTCGAGGTATATTTCGGTGCTCAGTGTGTTGGTATGATCCGCATATCGGGTGATAAAGAGAAAAATAGAGGCATGAGAAGTGAAGTCGGTTGTCTTAGAATTTGAGGAAGCAATGCTGAAGACGAGAGTATCAAAGAGGGCAGTAGGAACAAGGGGCTATTCAGTCCAATAACCTACTTGCAGAAAACCTTTGAGGCTTTGGGCAGTACATTTCTAACGTCCTAGTTTAAGCCGTACTACAAATGCCTAAAGATGGTGACCCTGTCTTGCATTTAAGTACCTTCTGCAAGTAGTAGATCCATCCCAATTTTACCGATGGTCATGTCAGCAGTAATGTAAACCCACGGGACAGAATAGTGTGGCCCAAGGTTAAGGTCAACTAGCTCACACAGAGTGTCTTGATGAGCGAATCGTTGGCAGCAAGGAGTTGTGGGGAAATTGGCTGCAGTCGGTCCTCAGCATTGGATGGGATTACGCCAGCTCCAAGCCCACCACCTGTCAGGAAGCCCATCCCTAAATGGTGATCAGTTAAGTAGAAAAGATGATTAGCCGGGAGTTTTCCAGTGACGTTTGTTGCCATCACCCCTTGACATGCACGTCTGACAGCTGACCGGAGTCAACAGTAGGCGGCCTAATGCAGTTTTTTCGCCGGCACTACAGCATCTATGACGCCAACAAATTGCAAGCTGAGGGTTTTTCGGTTACCATCCAGTGCGACGATGCTTCATGGTACGTTGGAAAGGTGAGCGAGAAACATGATTACGTGATGTTCGGTATTCCTTCATCTCCTTGCGGATGCTGCGGAGCTTTATCCACAATTTAGTAATATGAGCAGTAGGGTAGAAATCCGCAATAAGGCTGACACCAGGGGTCGGACCAGTAGCTGGTGCCAGTTAGGGTTGCGGTCCCTTTGTTTCTGCCAGTCTGTCTTAGCCTCAGTTGATTCCATCAACGAGGATTGGGGGAAAGGTGCAACGATGCTTTGAACCGATTGTGGAGGGCGTTGGAGTCGCAGATGTCCTAGAGAGGCGTCGCTGAATATGAAATCAGAAACAGGCTGTCGCATGTAGGTCAGCATTTGCATCGGCCCACGGTCGTCTAGGCCAACATCGTGAATGCGTTCCCGCACATTTGGTTAGTCAGTTGGAGCACCACGTTTGATGAGGCCCTGGTTGGAATGGACATAATGGCCTGGAGCAGTGTCATTAAGCACACTGGAAATCTCCCCCATAATGATAATAATCTCTCTGTTCCAAATAATGTGCATGACAGTGTGAAGTTCTCGGCGTGTAATTTTTCAACAAATTTACTCCCAGAACAATACTTTCAGACGAAACGGTTGCTGCATCGGAATAATGTTAATAATAATAGTACTCAAGGCAATGACGTGAAATAGCCAGCTGGTTCTGGGTAAGCATCCTGTCCACAGTGAAGGATCAACAGAGATAAAAGCGTAACTCTGGCTGTGGCGGTTCATTCGGATGGTACAAAAATCTGACGCTTAGGCTAAGCACCCGACGGATAGTGGCTAGTTATCATACGGTGTTGTCATCTCAATTGGGAGTTTCTAACTTAGGTTACGTTCACTCTGGGAATGGTTGGAATATATATGCTTTAAAAATCACTGCCACTTAAGCACGTGCTGAATACATAGATTGGCCAGCTGACGTTGATACGTTAAGTGATCAAAGATTTTTCAAGGACAAAGAAATTTTTCCATCACGTCCCAATAGTTTTACAAGAGGAGCGACTACTGGTAAATCAGGTGATTATCTTCTGCAAGTTAGCAAGCAGGAACAGAAACTCTTGGCTCATAGAAAAAAATTATGGCGCCGGTTAATATGAAGTGGTCCCGAATAGTTCAAACTCAACAACCATAAGAAGAATAGTGAGAATAGGAATCAGTGCAGTGTCCGTTAGCAGCATGTACGGCTTACACTACATGACTGAAGGTTAAAGTTGTACCTGTTTGCTTGATTCCACCAAGTATGAATTGCAAGTTACCTGTGTTAAATAGACCGCTCATTATCTTCGAACGGCTTTTCTGTTTTCATGTTGTCTGATATTGAAGGAATAGCAACAATTGAAGCACAAAGAGTGCTTGAAAACGTATCTTTTACTGAGGCACACATCTCTGGTCATAGGCGTGAAGCGTCTTAGATACCCTGACCCAAAAGTTTGAGATACCATGAAATTTGGCACGTTAAGGATTTAGAAGGCCATTCTTTTTTGCTTCGAATGACAGAATATAAGAAGCTTTCCCTTAACTAGCTTCAGGGGAGGAACTCAAGAGACTGACCTCTAATTTTTGCCAGTATCCAAAAAATAATGACTACACACAGTAGGTCTGAAGCTCAGGTCTTGTCTCACTGCTTTATATGAATGTCCTGTGTAGACTTTGAGGGAGAGGGGGTTGTAACTGTGATAAAAGCTTGCCTGGAGAGGAAACAAGTCTTCATCAGTAAGGAAATTTGCCTCATACTAAGCTCAGACTTGAAAAACAAGCAGGTCACTAGTCCGGATGTGTTTAATTCACACTTATTATCAGTGACAGACAAAAGTGTTGCCAAACTGCTGCAGGTACTGTTTTATATGCCGCTGAGTCAGTCAAAACCACTCAGACAGGAGATCTCTGGTCAGCCGTGTTTCAAAGATTCTGGATAACGCTGTTGCCGGACTATTTATAGCACCATTATGCAGCACCGGCTTTTGGTTGGGAAACAGGATACATATAGTGCTGGTTATTATTTTATGCCCGATTTCATGTATCGGCTTATAGCCGAGAAGCGGCGTCCTAAGCTAAATTTTAGTTGAAACCGCTTACTAAGTTCCGTAAAACCTTTGGGAGGCTTTGGGAACACGTGACAGTTTTCGGAATGAAGGTAAGGTAAGGGATCTAATTTGGGCGTTTCTGAGAGATGGGGAAGAAAAATTGACGGCTTCTGTAGTCTCATTAGCGTGACAATCAGTAAACAGTGGCTAACCATAGAGCATTATCCTCACTGCATTATAATGAAGCAATGTTCGAAGTCATTTCATCTGTCATATCTGTTAATGAGTTAAGTATGGACAACCAGAGACAGTGTCAGCAGCTGACCAGCTGTTTATTGAACCCTGAATATTTGGTCAAATGGTTGATTAAGCGGTCATCAGGACATAACGCGTGCAAATAATTTCGCAGTGTTTATCATGAAAATATGCATGATTACTAGACTAGTGGAATTCCACTGCTACAGGTTTGTGAGTACTGAGGTATAGAACTTAATACTACTGGGGAAATAAAAGACTGCAGCAGCCTGAGGCCTAGCAGGTACTTTGGCTTTCCAAGTATTAAGATTTCTTCGCAAGACCTGCATATGTCTTTATGAAGAAACGTTTGCGATATCATACGTGTCATATATTGGGCCTCATCCAAGGAACGAGATTCAGAAGACAGAACCACTTATAAAACATCGAGAAGTACATAGGGGAAACGCAAAGGGTGGGAGGGAAACCTGAGTAGTACGTCGAAACCCTACAATAGAGCAAGTCTATCTTTGGTCTCGTCCCATAGACGAGAGATTCTTTGTAGGTGTTCCTAACCTAGAGCAAGGACCCAGGTGCAACTTAGTTCCACTTACTTCTGCCTCGTGAAAATGACTAATATAAACTCGATCTTTTGGGACTTTAAAAAACGCTATAGAATAGTCTTCGCTGATAACTGCTTTTGTCACCTTTTATTGAGAACCTACGTGGATCTCTACAAGAAAACAAATTATCGTTTCCTGCCGGTTTCTTAAGGACAAGAGTGAACCTACACTTTACTGCAAGTCACCAGGAATGACTCGAAGAGACATTCCGATGTACAGGTTTCTGAAACTGTGGTATGACTGTAATATTGATTGTAAATTCTTTTATATTTCTGGTGGATTTTGCAACTGTAACAACTGGTAAGTGCTGGTATGCAACACAATTCGAGCACAGATTTTGTTACCTTAGAGTGTCATAATGCATATAATTCTTTACTCTCTTCCAGTGGAAGTTGGAATATTTGTTTGTTTAAATAACCTAGTGACATTTACTTTTATGTGTACTTTTGAGCGCCTACTTTGTGCGTAATGTTTTTACCATTATATTTAATTGTTGTTAACTTAATATCTTCAAAGACTTTTGGTGAGTTAATTCCAAATTATTTGCGATTTCTATCATTAGAGTTTAGTTCAAGCCTATCAGTTTACAATGGTGAGTCCTGGATCAACACGAGGTCGAAGATTGTATATCTCGGCCAACCTCTCAAGTTACGATGTACAACGACTGCGTCTGATAACATAACAATCAGCCGAAAGGATTATGACAGAAATGTAACAACAGAACTAGTTACAAAATTCGGTACTGAACTGAGGTGGGAAGTCAGTGAAACAGAGTTTTCGGAGTCTGGTGTTTATGAGTGTGTTTCCAGAGGTCTGTTGGACGTAGTTACGGTGTATATATACTCAAGTAAGCACCAGTGCATGTATTTGCGCTATCATTGTGCCCAATGATATTAAGTTGTTGCACGCAAGCACTATATTTCAGCATTTGAATTCTAGAGGTTTATTTTCATAATACATTGCTTTGTAAACTGTTTACATCAACAACTTGAATCAGAAGGATAAATTTTGGTAAATATAATCACCAACGTTCACCAGTATACCCACTGTAATTTGGAAAGCGGGAAAGTAGACATTATCTTACTCGGATATAAGCATTTGTCAGGACAATATCTAGATATTGAAAACCGTAGATCAACCACGAAATTTATGATTATCCAGCAAAGCTGCTCCTTGTTTATCGGTATTATTTCTATGATAAGAGTGATACTGATGGATGATGAGGTCATGTCAGATTCGGATTTATTGCTTGAGCCTATATTAATCCTTTTCCAGTAGATTACTGTGCTTTTTCAATCCCATTTTGAACCAGTCATTTAATGAGGCGGACATCAGTTCTTACTGGCGTTGGTTGCAGGAGTTGATCACTTGACGTGAAAACCGATGTTCTGAGGAGACCATATTCGTTATTTGTTTTTGTATCCTCCTACTATGTCTTATGGGTTTTACCAACTAGTGTGGAGGAAAAGAGAAGAAATATCAGGCCAAAAGTTATTTCTTAGAATCCCGTATAGCATGACTAGATCTTCCTCTCTCTACGGTAGGACAAAGAGATGAGGTTCAGCTCCTTAAGCAGCTTTTTATAGGTGAGGCTAGCTATCGCAGGGATCATACGAGTGCTTGCCATCCGAACTCTTTCCAGAAGGTCTAATTTACCTTCAGACAAGGATTAGCCGCTTGTGTACAGTTTTCTAGTTCAGACCTAACTAAGGATGTATGCAAGATAGTGGAAATGTCACCACTTATTTCCATAAACGTTCTACGCAACGCCCAGAGAGTCCTAAAACTCTGAGCTGCTAACAGTTGACAATGTGGCGTGGTTTTCGAATCACAACCCACTATGATTCCTAGGTCATCATGGGTCAGTAGTGATGGTAGAGGAGTCCCATAAATTTCGTAGGTGTTGCTGTATGTGTATCCCATGCCACACATTTAGCCGGGTTGGCAGGCAGTCCACTGCATTATTCGTAGGACGAATCACTTTATCAACAGATTTTTTGAGGTAATTTTGATTATTTTTTTCAATATTGTCACCGGAAGTGTAAAAAAATATCATGTATTTCGGCTTGTTGTTGAAGTCTCTGTTGGCTAACAAGTTTATACGCACTTATCCTGTAATAATATATCGGTAATATATATATACATATATATATATATATATATATATATATATATATATATATATATATATATCGATGTCGACTGTGAGCAGCTGGGAAAGGAAGTTAATATAATTCAAGATTACATAGGAGGTTAGTATTTTTATTACCACCTAACATGTGATCAGCTTTCAACAAACCAACGTACACCAGTACCAAACTATTTATTACCTTAACTACATGTAGTTACTGATGACAAACGAGAAGCAAAAGATACATTAGATGTTAAAAACGCTTAGATAAGCATGGTATTTACTAGCCTGCAGTCGAAAAGTTGTTTTTTCGGCGAAAGTTATGATTTTTTCGGCTGTGGATGGCAGATACATGGACTTTAATACCACACCTGTTAATGAATACAATGGAGATGAAAGATGGAAGCTGTTTAATGGTGAATGTCTACCTATTAGGGAAAATCTAATAAGACTTAAATTACTCGTAAATGATTGAGCGGACTATTTAACCAATACTCAGATATTTCAAATATTTACGTATTTTAAGTGTGATAACATTTTGAGGTCAAAAAAGTGTACTACAGTAATAGCACATAACTATTGTTTCAATCCAATAGCAATGTCTCATCGATCAGTATTTTTTGAAGTGACTTCTCGACGTAAAGTAATAAGATGTATACTTTCAGTTAATTGTGTATGTATACCCTGTCGAGCTCTGAAATCTGACTGCAAATTTATATACGTGTCCAGGGAAACTGTCGCCTACTTATAATTCCCGATACTGCTGGTCCACCTGCGTCAGACAGTGTAAATATCAGGAGTTAACACGAAGTATATATCAGGATGGTGTATTGGTCAACGAGCTAGCCAGATCCCACCTCCGATACCAAAATGTAACGACCAGTTGTTGATAAGTTTTCGTCTAGCCTGTAGATAGGCATGTTGTTGCAGGAGATGTGCAGAGCAGTGTAAGTTTGGTGGTGGCCACGAGAATCTGGAAAAGAAAAGAAAGGAAGAGAAAAAGGTGAGCCGACGACTCAGCAAGTACACAGGATGTACTTACACTGAATAAAAAAAGATAACTGATAAACAGTACAGCTGAACGACGAAGAGGTGAGTCAGTCTAAAATCGAAACTGTAAGGTGAATGAGTAAGATTTCGAATGCGCTACAACCCTAACCGTGAATCAGGAACAAATGGCTATCCAAGTTGGTCAGCCATATAACCATTTACATATTCATCCACTTCAGAAGTTGAAAAAATATTTCAACACGCTCCCGCTCATTTATTCCAAAGAGTTTTGCAGTTGACTAGTTTTTCAATCATTGAAGAACTTTGTATCTACCTTATACCTTTCTTTTTATCAGAAACATTCTTCACTTGCTTTTCCTTTACAAGTATCATTGTATGTGATGAATTTAGTTCTCATCTTATACTGTCTGCCGAAAGCAATTTTAAAAGTTGAACAGCGTAAGCTTTATAGATGGCGATACCAACCAACAATTTTTGTACTTAGAACGAAGGTGTATGTGTAGTTTTGCGCCAGAAAAACGAATTACATCAGTCGACTAGTTATTTAGATTTATTTGTGAGACAGTGATGAGATCTTAAAAGAACTATACACCAAAATGCTTAGACATTTGAGTAGATACCTTTAGGTAAACAAGTTAGTTTTATACCATGATGGTCAAAATTAAATGTTGAACGGTTAGTGACTAGTTTTGGAGTCTACCTATTACTATGACTCATCTTCCAGTGAAACCATAAGCACCCTATGATGCTCTTCGAGAGTAAACATTTGACTCTAGAACAGCAACTATCAAAATCGTTTTATTCTGTTCATGAAATGAGTGACCTGTAATTATTTGCAAGTAGTCTGACTAAAAGTGAAGAAATTAACGTCTCAACCTTCTTGTTTATATTTCTTTAGCCTTGATTGAGTGTTTGTTACACCTGGAATACGTAGAAGAAAGTATCTTAATCTTGAAGAAGAATCGGCAGAAATTTTGACACGAAACCTATTGATATCGAAAGCATTTCAAGAGAATACTTAGATTACGTCATGATCATAGAAATAGGTGTTTATTACAGTTGTATAATATAGCTCAGGTTAGTTTGTATACATTAGTCTGTTTATTAGGAATGTTACACAGTGAGGCAGCGAAGACAGGAATTCAAGCGAATGCAGAGAAGACAGAGGTGATGATGATACCCAACCAACAACAACACCACCATCACTATAAACAACAACAAGCTACAATCAACATCAACAAGAGGAACTTAAAGGAAGTAGCCTCTTTCATCTATCTAGGCAGGCAGCATCATTTCAACTACAGGCGCCACAGGCACAGACGAGGATGTCGAAGCCAGTCAGGATCGGGAAGACAGCAAGATAGGCGTTCATTGAAGTGAAACCAGTGTAGAGATCTTCTGCACTCAGCACAGAGAACAGGATCCGGATTTCAACACCGATTCAGTCAAGTCAGTGCTTCTATGTGATGATTGAGAGACTTGGCGCCTTACGAAAGGGATTTCCAACGAACTACAGATATTCATCAACAACTACCGCCTACGCCGGTTCGTTACTGAGGATGAGATGGCCAGAATAATAAGAATAAGCATCAGTGAACTCTAGAAACGAACTAACCAATAATATATGGCTGAACAAATGTACACTGGAAGGAAGTGGAGATGGATTGGGCATACACTGAGAAGACCACTGGGGACATCACTCGCAGGCCAGGCACTCAAGTGGAACCCAAAGAGGAAACGACGAGTTGGGCGTCCCAGCTGAGGGTAACATGAAGGAGATGGTGTGAGGAAGAAATGAGAGCTTGTGGGCAGTTGTGGAACCAGGTCCAAAAGTTTGCCGAGAACAAGTGCGCTGGAGACGTGCTACTGAAGCCGTATGTTCCATTAGGAACCCAAGGGATAAATAATTATAATAATAATGCACAGTGAAACAATATGTGTATTCATATCATGACGTGATAAGCACATGGACAATAAATTATATCCAAAAATTTAGCCTGTAAGATATATTGTTTCTTCAATGCGTATGATATTTCTAATAAACAGACTAAAATGGAATTACAATCGGCCAAATTATACGCAGTTTACTCCTATATTTCGGAAGCATCATCAGATCATTAGCATTCTGAATAAAAATAGTTTTAACAGAATAAGATAAATCATACAGAACGAATGGAAACAGAAAGGGAGAAAGTACTGCACCTTGACGCGTACCAGCTCCAGTAACCAATGAAATAGAATACCTGACTTTATAGACAGTATACTGTTTCCTTTTAGGAAAATAAGAATACAGCCACTTTTCAACCCAAGGTTCTGTATGAGCCACGAGAAGCTTATTTAAAAAAGTAGTCTAGGAGCAGAGTCAAAGGCTGATGAGTAGTCCAAAAAGGCACAACGAACATACTGAACACTTTTGTCGAGACTAGGAACAATATTATGATGCAAGACAGTGACAGCATCTAAAGTACTTCTCCTGCATTTGTAAGCAAATTGTTTTGGTTCTCTGACAGCCTTCAATGATGGTTCAGGGGAAGTTATAGTAATGGGTCAAAGTCTAATATCTGATCCACAAGATGACTTAGGCACATGTACAACTTTGATCTCCTTTGAAGCATCGGATTTCATGTTTTTAGAAAACGATCCATTGAAGGTATCTGTAAGAGGATGACATAAAACATCTGCACTCTTTCAAAATATAATACTCG